GAGTGGGTGCATGGGCCTTGTGACAGGCTTGAGCTTGAGCTTTACATTGAGGTGTGGCGTATGAGGAGATCGAGGACTGCGAGGAATGCACCGATGATTGCGGAGCCTTTGGCGCCAACACACGGACACTCTCTTCATGCTCGTATTTGTGTATGCCCCACACATGGCTGAAACAGCGTTTCCTCGGGAGGAGAATGAGGGTAACTCTGTGATGCTTCGAAAGAGTCGTTAGATGTTTCTTACGTCTCGCTCCCTCCCTCCCTCCCTCCCTCCCTCCCTCCCTCCCTCCCCCTCCCTCCCTCCCTCCCCTCCCTCCCTCCCTCCCTCCCTCCCTCCCTCCCCTCCCCTCCCTCCTCCTCCCCTCCCTCCCTCCCCTCCCTCCCTCCCCTCCCCTCCTCCCTCCCTCCCTCCCCTCCCTCCCTCCCTCCCCTCCCTCCCCTCCCCCCCTCCCCTCCCCCCCCCCCCTCCCCCTCCCCCCCCCCCCCTCCCCCTCCCCCTCCCCTCCCCTCCCCCCCCCCCCTCCCTCCCCTCCCCCCCCTCCCCTCCCCTCCCCTCCCCTCCCCTCCCCTCCCCTCCCTCCCCTCCCCTCCCCTCCCCTCCCTCCCCTCCCCTCCCCTCTCCCCTCCCTCCCCTCCCTCCCCTCCCTCCCTCCCCCTCCCTCCCCTCCCCTCCCCTCCCCTCCCCTCCCCCTCCCCTCCCTCCCCCCCTCCCTCCCTCCCTCCCTCCCTCCCTCCCTCCCCTCCCTCCCCTCCCTCCCCTCCCTCCCTCCCTCCCTCCCTCCCTCCCTCCCTCTTTCCCTACCTCCCTCACTCACGCATGACTCGTTGCTCCCTGGCTCACGGACTCCTCTCACTGTCACTCTCACTCTCACTGACTCACTGACTCGCTCGCTCGCTCGCTCACTCCCTCACCCACTCCCTCACTCCCTCCCTCACTCACTCACTCACTCACTCACTCACTCACTCACTCACTCACTCACTCACTCACTCACTCACTCACTCACTCACTCACTCACTCACTCACTCACTCACTCACTCACTCACTCACTCACTCACTCACTCACTCACTCACTCACTCACTCACTCACTCACTCACTCACTCACTCACTCACTCACTCACTCACTCACTCACTCGCTCGCTCGCTCGCTCGCTCGCTCGCTCGCTCGCTCGCTCGCTCGCTGACTCGCTGACTCGCTGACTCACGCACGCGCTCGCTCGCTCACTCACGCACATTCCGGTCAGTTGCGTTTCTTGGGTCTGCCGACCACTTGGAATGCGAGGGCTCAAGGAACGAACTTCCCAGATCTGTTTTGCTGTTTGGGGGAGAAGCAGACGGGCCGCTATGTTGTCCCCGGCACATGTGTGCCCAGGCTACTCCGTGGAGCGCGAGACAAGGGTGCGCCATGTTGGCCAGGGCCAAGGCAATTACACAAGGACTGGTTAGGATTTGCTTGCACGCAGGGGGAGTTTTTACCCAACCAATCAATTGGCGCTTCCTTGCAAAGAGGTCTTTTCTCCTGCTCTTTGAGTTTTTTGTGGGGGCTGTAACCAACCTGTCAGGAACATCCATGGAGCAGGAGTAGGTACTAGCCGTCACGACTGGTGATGGGCCATGAGTGGTTAGCAAAGGTCAGCAGTTGCGACCAGACGCAGCAGTTGCCAAGAATGTGGATAGATCGATCTCACACATCGTGACAAGCAAACCACTCGCCCGTGCAGCTTCGCTGCTTCCAGATCTCAGCGGTTTCAAGACCAGGGTTTGGGGCCTACCAAAGGTCTTGCCAAGACTAAGTTTCCATTGAAGGGCGAGGTTTCTATCACCCACAAGACATTGGGCCCGTCAACGACGCATGTTGTGACGGAGAGCCAAATGGGTCCCAGGACACTCTGTTCAGACCTCGCCAACAAGGGCTTTGCAACAGAATGCTGACACCCGTCGTCAAAGACTTTTGTCCTTGGCCACTTGTTTCTGCAAAGACCTTGTTTGTGCTAAGCAGTCCTCGCAATTCGGGCCGACCTCAGTGACGACTTCGAGACGGGAGGACGCAGGACATGCTCTTCGTGGGCCACGGCCAGGGTGCCTACGAAAAGGAGAGAGTGCATTTCCCTAGGTGCCCCCGGCCGGGTGGGGAACCCCGAACCGGATGATGTCCCTTTGACTTCCCATGACACAACAAAAGCCAAAGGGGGACTCTGTCCTTTGAGACTACCTTTGAATAAAACGTCATGCCATGCAGTTTTCTCTTGAAGGACACATGGAGCACTCCAACATGTATGAAATTCATATTTACCCCCCTAAAGGTGATTCCGTCTTGTGATGGATGAAACCCTTTGGGCTACCGCGAGAACAGAAGGAACCCCGAAGTCTCTGCACTCAGCGACAGCACATACATAGGAAGCCCAAAACGTAGGTCCCAAACAGAAAACCCCCAATTTTCCGGCTGGATTTCTTATTTAATTTCTCAGACAATCTCGCGGCTTCTGGCAGCTCCGAAATGCAACGGGGAAACCCGCGGTGAAAACTTAGGTGCATTTTGCCAAGGGATGTTAGGACTTCAACTTTTTGCCAACTAATGGGTTTTCCATCAAACCACTGAAAGGGCACATAGCGGGCTGTAGAGGCAAGCAGATCGAACAAGTGTGCGATTAAACCACTCAAAGTTTTCAACTTTTAGCAGGGGAGCAGATTTCGCAGCCGAGGAAAGGAGAGGTGCAAAATGGCAAAATGGCCGATACAATTCTTGGCTTTAGCAAACGCACTCAAGTGAGATGGTAGTGTCGTCCGCAAAGCGTTGTGCCCCTTGCAATAATTGGCCATCAAAAGCCAAATCGTATTCCCAGCAAACATCCCAATCCCCACTAAAATAGACTAGAATGGGTGGTGCACCTACCCCAAAATGGTATCATTGGTTTTGGCCCACAGCCAATTGCGATCCAGGGTGGGTATTTTGCGGCGCAGCACTTGAAGTGATTCCCATCCCCAGCTCACTTGGCGAAAGCCAAACCAGCACCGACGTAGGTACAGCTACTGGGCATTTGTTGGATGTTGCCTGGGGCTCCTAGCTGTGGGCTTCATCCTGCTTCTGGGCTACCTCCTGGCGCCCTTGCTGCACAACCGCTCCGGGAGGACGAAAGTTTCTTGTCGCTTCGCCACAAATTTTGATGCAGAAGGAATCGCAAGCTTTGGGGAGGTTACGTATGGTTTCTGAAAAGGGTGGTTGCACTCCCTGAGTGAGGATGGTTCTGGACGTCAAACTCTTGGGAGGACTATTTTAGTGGGAAACAAACAGTTTGGACCTATCTTTGGCCAATATCCTGGAGATTCATTCTCCGGCCTTTTCCTAGGCGTTTTAGTTTCCTGGTAGTTTTGGGCGTGCTGGGCGTTCTAAGTGGTTTCTAGGAGTTTTGCGCGACCCCCGAGCCCAAAAAGCGTCTTTTTCTGATTTGCGGGCGTTTGCGGGGTTTTGCGGGCGTTTGCGGGCTTTTTGCGGGCGTTTTGCGGGTAATTCTGGGCGGGGAAAACGTGAAACCGTACCAATTCTGAAATCTCACAAAAATATAGAAGCTTTAGTAGTTTTAGGCGACTTCACGAAAAAGACATCGAGATTTACGAAAAGCAAGTCAAAGCCGAGAACTACCAGGAAATTCATGGAGAATGAATCTCCAGGATCCACTCAAGTGAGAAAGAACGGAGTCAACCTTCCGAGCTAAGCAGCTGATTGCAGCCGTACCCTCGGCTGAAGCGCCCGGTCAAAACGTCCCATCCATTGCTTGCCTGAAGCCTTTTCCAGGTCCTTGGGTCATGCTGCATGTGAACAGGTCCAGCCTCTTCCAGTGGTCCTTGCATATTAATCATTTGGGATTTAAACATCCTTTTCAGGCCCGTTTGAAGTGAGTTTCCTTTGGCTGGTCTCCCAAAGAAACATGCTGGCGAAATAGAAAGCCAACATTTGCGGACTGATGCTGATGAAATCAATTCTTGGGTGCTGGGTACCACCATAGCGGTTTGAGCTTTTTCAACACAACTAGTTCCCCACTGACTGGCCAACCAGATAACTGTTTGCAGTCGAAGACGGACCCGGCCTTTCGAGACAGGTGACTTAACGGACCCGAAATGACTGATGGCATGTTGTTCGTGCTCACAGAAGTTCACTCAAACATTCAGATCCTTTGAGGTCTTGAGAAGCTGGACACTCAATCTACTTATCCCTCGAGAACCAAACGGGACGGACAAAAATAGTATTCACACAGTTGTGTGTTCTGTTCAGTCAAGATGCGTTCATGTCTAGTGGAGGGGCGTCAAAGAAACACCACCAATGAAGTTTCGGAACCCCGCAACTGCAGCCTGTTGGTGGTTCCGCCCCTTCTTGGGGGAGGGTGTTTTTTTCTCAGGGGGAAGCGAAGTTCAGAGCGAAATGGCCAACGGATGTCCGGCCATGGAAGCGTCGGCCCAGCCCTCGGGGCCCTTGGTCTTTGTTCTTTCTTTTGGAGGGTAAGGGCAACTGCCAAAAGGCGTTGGAGGCCCCGGTTTATCAGATGGCCGCTGGGGGTTTGGGTTGTTTAAGTAAGAGTGGCTTTTGAACGCGTGTATTCGCTTCTTCCTGATAGGAAATCCCCCTTCCCCCAAGAACAATTTGCCTGGGGGCGGAACAACGAACATTAATAGGCTGCATTTGCTGGGTTCCGCTCAAACTGGGTCCCCTCCCTTTCCAGGCCCAACCACCGTAACTTGCAATTTTCGAGTTGGCAATTTGCACCGCAGAAGTCGGGGTCAACTTTTTTTTGCAGCTGCCTGGGATTGGTTGAAGTTGGTTTAGTTTTGGTGTAATAGTCTTAACTTTGGCTCTAGAGTCCCCCCCGCAAGACTCACTGGAGTATTGGCTAATTCTAAATTGGATTGGGACATTTGGGGTCTGGGAAGAATCATATTTGAGACTCGGGTGCATGTATTTATAAGGGAAGTGATTAAACGAGGAATTGGCCCAACCTGGCTCATAGTT